ATATTCTCTCAACCTGTACATATATGCGTTTTTTTGAAATAATTATTATAAAAAGCAGCGAATACTTCTTGGTAAATGTTTATTGGTTTTTTGGATGGGAGTTTTGAGGGCGATTGAGGATAGTTGATGGTCAGTTTGTCTATAGTGATGTATTTATACTTACTCGCTTATATTCACTGAGTTTAAAGATTAATTGTGATGAATGACCTAGTTATGATGACTCCAAAAGCTTGCTGTATCGCTAGCTTCTGCTTAATTATTCCTCAAATAGCACAAGTCGATTAATCGAATAGAAATCTGGTGCCCAGCCAGCATGACTTTGGAATGGTGCAGGCTTCGATTTAGGTTGCATCTAAAGTGCAACTAAGTGCATCTAAGTGAGACTGCTTTAGCTTTGATTTAGATCCAGAACCATGCCAGACTCATGCAGACTTGGAGCCGGATTACTGATCAATTATCTGACTTGTGCCATTTACTTGTTGAGAACTGATTTTAAAGCTAGCAATTTTTAACAAAATTAATGTACAGACAAATGTTTTTTTCTATGATAAATTTTCTAAATTCAAAATGTTCGCGCCATTTTTGAAAAAATTTATTTTCTGAAACGTGCTTCTGAAATTTTTAATTTTTCCAGCCTTTGAGACTAGTTTTTAACATAGATTCCACAAAAAAGTCTTTGCTCCGACAATTTCTGTCAATTGCAGTCATTTGTTGATGTAATAAGCCAAAAATCAAGTCAAATTTTAATTTTAAATTTACGAAGTGAGAAAAATATTTTCCCGCGCAATTTATTTAACCAAAATTAATGAGAATTAAACCAGATCTATTAATTATGATGAATTTAGTCTAAGAATGCAAGCAAGGAAGTTGAGTAAGCATGAACTAATTTGAGTGAGTAAGAAATGAGCATGTAAGTAAGTTTAGTAATCAAAAAGGCGAAGAATAGTTTAAATTCATGTTAAACCCAAAAGTTTAATGCATAAATACAATTTTTTAAGCTTCTTGATCTTCCTGTTGTTCCTTTATTTGTCATTTAATGCTTTTAATGCTTCTAATGTCCAACAAACCCAACTTAACTTCCAAAGCAATCAAATTACTCCACTAGACATTAAAAAAAACTTTAAAATTACAATTTTACACCCTCATATGTAGCTACTCGAAAATTAGATAATTTTTTTTCTACTTGTTTTTTAATTTTCCACGAGGGACAAATCGCACATTTATGGTTATCGTAAACAATAAAAATTAATGAAAGATGATATTCTCAGAATCATTGGACACTCACCGGACATCATATCATTAAAAATTTTCCCATTTTTTATTGACACATAACAGAAAAAAAATTGTCCTTTTCCCATGCTGATAAGCTGCAATAGAAATTTTATTGTTCAAAAAAAAAGGAAAATTTTCAAACATTTGTTAGACAATAAAAAAGTGAAATAAATATCCAGCATATCCATGAGTACTTAATATGAGATGTCACATGAGAGATAAATTTAATTCAATAAACAGAAAGTTCAACTGAAAATGACATCAACCTTTCGAACTCTGTTTGCGACCTTATTTATTATCATGTTATGGATTATTTACTCTTTTGCGGAAATAGCTGAGAAAATTTACGACACATTTTTTGCATGGATGCTTAAAACCAAAAATTTACGATCGTTTCCCGTAAACTATCAAACTATAAATGGGATAAAAATTATTTTCTGGGTAAAAAAAGGGGTATTTTTGTAAATGGAATTGAATATTATATTTTTTTGTGGTAAACTAATGACGTAAAAAAGGTTAAACTGCTCACATAACATGTTTATTTATGGAATGCGCTAAATCAAAATTCAATTTTATGGGATTGACAGATTTTTTGTGACATTTTATGGCCTCAAAAGAATCCATTGAGACCAAATATCGTTATGGATCAGGAGATTGCAACTGCATATGCTTCAATGATACATAAATATTGATATATTTACAGTCGATGAGGGACTTTAAGTGCATTGAACTAAATTTACAGCTTTGCAGTGTTGTTAACTGAATGTTTTTTGGATGGATCAGATGGCTGTGACTGTAGCAGACTTTATGGATGGCAAGAGATCAAGAGGAAGACCGAAGATCTCGCCCGAGTAGCACCAACAACAACAACTGGTTTTACGTCGACGTCAAGGCACCATCAAGTGGAAAAAAGCACGTCACGCCGCAAATTTACCGTTATGGCAACGCTAAGGCATCTACACGCACGATTTCGCCCCATTTGAACAATGAAATAATGGGGCGAAATCGTGCGTGAAGAAGCCTTAGCGTTGCCATAACGGTAAATTTGCGGCGTGACGTGCTTTTTTCCACTTGATGGTGCCTTGACGTCGACGTAAAACCAGTTGTTGTTGTTGGTGCTACTCGGGTCGTGGATTGGATGTGTTTAAAAAGACGCTAGATTCCTTAATATCCCGAACTGGAAGAAGGTTTCTAAGGATAGAGCTGTCTTCAGACGATCTCTAAGCGCGACAATGGGCCCACGTGCGACCCAGCCAAGGAAGTAAGTAAGTAAGTAAGTAAGATGGAATTGGGGATTGAATATGCGTTTATAGGTTATTAAGAGCTCCAATTTATCCATTTGGTAAGATGGAACATAGTTCAGTGGCTCTTAAACTTTTTATTGACTGACGCACTTAGACAACTTTTTATTTTTTATATCTTTACTTTTGGGACTTTTTGAGGATTTGGCGGAACAAAATGGAATCTTATAGCATAGTTTGAGCAGTTTTGAAGAAGCACTTGCTAGAAAGATTTAGATAGTCTGCTATTCATCAACTTAAACTGATACAAATCATACTCAATTTAATTAATTCAACCAGAAGTTCAAATGTTTGGAGTAATAGATGTCTGGATACAAAGGTTCATGTCTCACACATTATCTAAGAATCTCTTGATGGAAGGGATCAATAAATTTCAAAAATATTTAAGGAAGCAAGTTGAAACAAGATCGCCTCCTAATGAATTAGGGATCCAGAAACTTCATATTGGGTATAAAAATAATTTCTATCATCGATCAGGATCGCAATGCTTTCAGCTCGTGGCATCATGTAGGAACATACTACTCGGCAGGTGCCATCATACATTATTCTTATTAGTGTATCAAGGCATTCGGTCCAGGCAACTTCTTAACAATGCCTTTATTTTTTTTGATGTGTATTTGATGTCAAGCTGTCATATTACTTTTGTAGGATGTAATTAAACCAAGTCTGAACTACCATAAAGCCAGTCATTTGAAAGCTACACTTAGTTCAAAGTTCAAGTAGATACCGTATGAAATAAGTCTCCTTTAAGGAGCCAAGGAAACATGATGTAAGTATAAGGTACAATAGAGTAAGAACAGTGTGCCTCCTCCCTATGATAATGTCTCATGTTTGATATCTAAGAAGAATAATCAGATTGTATAAAAAAATTATTGTTTAAGCTCCTCAATTTTCATGTACTTCTCGCACACTTATAGCGGTTAGGTTCATTTGTATGGCATCTTGTATGGGGTCATTTGATTCTTTTTTGAATTGGCAGTCATGGTAAGCAGTATAAATTTCTCAGCAATCCAATCCTTCATCAACATACATCTGAAGTTTACAACACTGCCGAAATATTTTTTTTTGGAAACCACAAAAATTTTTGCTCTAAAATTTCATTAGCCACAATTGATGTTCATTTGTGTAAATTCTGCATCGCATGCACAATCCCTTCAGTATAATGAAATTATTTTACAACAATGCTTGGCACACATTGCATTTATTGACTGAATTATGTGAGTTTGGTTTCAAATTTAATTGATGGAAGATTAAATTGCATATATTTGAAAGATTTTTTTATATTTATTTGTGCATGCATTCCCCATACCCAAATGATTGACTTTAATTATTACAGGTGATTATGGCAATGTGAAAGAGGATATGAATTTATTAATGATAATTAGCATTATATGCAAAATATTATCAATTTAATTAAATTTGATCAGGCTAATGAGGTCCATATTTTCAAGTGGTCATTATTGATTAATTACACGCTTTCATTTACATTTCGTAATGTGATTACAATTTTACAATTTTACATCGAGATTTTGTGCAATTTTTCTCTTTGAGTTGAAATATGAAGTAATTAACGTCTGGAAAAAAATTAAGTGTAATTTTAATTGCATTTGAGTATTTTTTTGTCAGATGACATTTAAGTTTATTTAAATTGGAGTGTTTTAAAATTAAATGTTTCAGTTTTGTTATGAAATTATGAATTTGAATAAATTTAGAAATTTTATTCTAGGATCCGTTCATAAATAACATCCAACATTGAGAGGGAGAAGAGGGTCTGGAGTTTTGTGACGATTTAAACCAGTGTTATCCAAACTGTGTGCCGCAGCACACTATTGTACTGTAGAATTTTTCTGAGAATGACACAAGCCGCATTTTGTGTGCAAATTCGGACATGGTTTACTACCAAGGTGTGCCGTTAATCAAAAGGTTTGGATAACACTGATTTAAACAAAAGGAATTTCTTTGTACAACTTTTGTGACTAGAAAAGGGTGAGGATTTAAAAATCACGTTTTTCATGAACGTCATTTATGTACAGCCCTCAATTGTTTGGATGCGAATATAAAATCAAACTACAATTAATTAAAGAATTTAAATAAATTAAACAAAGCGTGAAAAAAATCAAAAAGTTTAAAAAAAATTTTAAAATTGGAAATAGTAAATAATAAACTAATAAAATTAAAAAGTTTTAACAAAAAATTGTTTTTAAGAAATCTTAAATGTTCAATAATTGTGAAAATTTAATTGAGGTTTAAAATTTCTTTACCTAAAGTTTTTATTTTCTTTCAAATTAATTAAATTTTCACAATTTGAAGCTTTTTAATTTTTTTTATAAAACAAAAAATCAATTTAAAAAAAAATCTGTAATTTTCAAAAAATAAAATCACCGAAAAAATTTATTGTATTAAAAAAATATTGCTTTTATTTATCCATAAAATCTAGTTCTACATATATCACAATTACGCTTATTGAAGATTTTAATAAAAAAATAATTTGAGATCATTTTGAATTTTTTTTTCCTCTTCTTTTAAATTTCTTCTATGAGATCAATTACGAATTTAAAATTTCTTAACTCAATATCTTAAATTTTCTATTTCAAAGTATCAATTACAAACTGTAAGGCACTTATTACTAAATTTGTGATTTTTGAACTCTTATTGGCATCTTTTGGTTTCTTTTTATTGCTGGATTTCTTTTTTGACTGTAGAACTTCGCTCAAAATTTCTTCCTCAATTTGATGAATTTGTTCACAATTTGTTGTGTCATTTTCAAATGCAATTCCACTGTCTTCACTGAAATGGCTGTATTGTGAATGATTTCCATACGAGTCTAGTCTTCTTCTTGTTGTCTGATTGATTCTGAAGCTACTGCGTGGTGATGAGAAGACTGATGTTGATGGTGATGGTGATTGGAAGTTTTCTGAGATTGGTGGGAAGATGAAATGTCCTTGATTGAATGGACTTGATGGAGATGCTGGTGGACTGATGTGGAAGTTTGGGAGTTCTGTGGATTATTAAATTTAAAAAAAAATATTAGAATTTTTTCAAAGTTGAATTTTTTATTTTTGAGATTTTTAAACTTAAAAACTTGATCTTAAGATATTTTTAAAAATTAAACTTAAAAATTGAAATTTTTAACTTTTGTAAGATTAGAATTATTAAACTTTTAAAATTGAATTTTTCAAAATTGAAATTTTTATAAAATGATTTTTTGAATTTCTCCTTATTTAATTTTTTTTAAAGTTTTAATTTAATTTTTCAGAATTTTTCTTAAATTTCTTATTTCACAAAATTCATATTTCAAATTTTTTTTTCAATTTTCTAAATTCTTGCACAAAAATAACAACAACAAAACATCTACAAACCTTGTGAGCATCTGCAAAGTGCTTCATAAAATGCCTGCACTAACATTTCATTGTCAACGGGTGAAGGAAGTGGCGATGATTGTGGTGAATTGTCACTTCTTATTGGAATCGACATTGGTCTTGTTGGTGAACTTGGTTGTGAATTTGATGTTTGAGAATTTCTCAAAATTTCACTGTTTGCAACTTCTTCCTCGTCAGGAATATTAAATGGAACTGCCATTTTTAATGTCTTTTAATTTTTTTAAAATATTTTTTTTTCACTTTATTTTTTAATATTTTTTTTTGAAAATTCTCTTTTTTTATATTTTAAGAGCTGTTCACAAAAAGCACGTCTGAATCGACTGAGATCAAGAATAAAACTGACGCTATGTTGTTGCGTTATTCTGATGCATCGCCCTACAATATATATTTTTTTTCTGTTTATGCCTGACTGTGACTGTCTATGTGTAAGTGGTTAAACTGCATTTTACATCTATGTAGTGATCTAACTTAATTCAAACTTTAGTTCTTTGTGTATGTATTGTCCTATAATGCATCGTTATTCTCCCCTCCACTTCTTTTTTCTGTGTTTCCACTTCTTATTGCCTTTTTGTTGTGTCTATTATTAAAATATAGGTAGAGTCAGTGTACATCATAATATCCTACAATATTTTTACATACATTACAAGATTATCTGCACCGAAAATTCGTCCGTTCCAAAAAATTAATATCGAGTCTGGCAACAAAGAGCCATTTGACATCAATTGATCCATAAATTAGCAACATTTAATAATTAAATCTCATAAAATTTTCATAGCACATAACGCGATTTATGTTATAGGCAATATGTTCCATCAAATTTATTTCATGCTTTGCTGATTGATATGTTGCTACTTGCCCTTCACATCACTCAGCTACTGTAGATGTGATGTAGTCTGACACATAATCCATATGTAAATATATGTAATAAGCACGAGACGGGCGAAAACGATATTGTTTTCAAATTAGTTCACGGCAATAAATGCAAATGTTCGTAGGCTGTATAGTCAATGCTTTATTGACGTTTAGATGAATTTTAATCAATGTGCAAGTGTCTTTTTGAGGCGAATTTTATTGATTTTTTGTTTTATTTGATGAAATTGATGAATAATTTTTTTGGGAATTAGATTGTGACGAATCTGTTTGTTATTTTTTTTTTATTGTTCTGATTATTTTTTGATGAACAATTAGTCAAGGCTGAAGGAAAAATGCAGGCGGTGGTCATTAAATGCGAGCGAATTTTTTTATATAATTTTTTTATTGCAGATTTTGTGAGTTTAGATCTTAAATAAATGAATTTTAATCTCCAGGTGGGGTTTGGATGCTTTAAGATCGTCTGGCTGTGCCTATGTATGTGGAGACACCTTACTCGAATGGCACAAGGTGTGACTCTGGCAAATGCAGCACCATGCCAGAGTCATACCCGCTTTGATTTCTGTTCGATTAACTTATACTTGTGTACTTATATAACCAATATTGTGTCTTCGGATTATTAGATTGCTTGGGCTCAGTTTTTGGTTCCTGGCTTTTAAATCGAATTTAGAAGCCGGTTCCTTAAACTGCCCTATAATTATCATTGACAAGCTATAATCAAAATTTAGATTTTGATATAAAAGGACTTAAATATCGAAGCTACTAAGTCGGCTAGGTTTAAGTAATAAAATAAGTTGACTAAAAATTCAACTTTAATAAGCCGAAATTAAGTCTGCGCCGGATATTTTCTCATCTGCTTTAATCTTTCTGAAAAAGAGTTGTACATTTTAAGAATCAATTTATTGCCAAAAGAGAGAGAGAGAGAGAGAGATGATCAATTTGTCTGTCGCCACACAGACCACGTATCTTTAAGTTTTGAGAATATCTTCTGATTGGCCGGACGTGCCATTTCAACAGCACAAAATTATGGACATGATTTCGCGTTAACAGACTCAAATATCGCGAATTCAGGGTTTTAACAGTTTTTAAGATTTTTTGTGGTTTTTGTTGAAGCAGCAATTCATTTATGATGTATAATGCTTGCGATGGGTGTGGATAGGAAGGTCACTAACAGCCACTGAGAGAAGTCTGAGCTTCTAAGCCAGTGTTTTTTGAACTATGCTCCACAGAGTGTCGTGTTCTGTAAAGTATGAGAACCACTGTCTTAAGTAATTCATGCAACTATTTTACAATTAATAAAACTAAGCAGCAGTCTGTAAATAACCTTTTTTCAATGGACATAACTTCTGAATATTCCAAAAATAAATCGCCAAAATTTTTACTGTTTTAATGATCATTTTATTCTCTGCTTAATACATTTTTCAAAAATATTGACTGACATTCCTAAACAAAGTTGAAAAGCAAGCAAAACTTTTGTATATCCACAGAACAAAGACATCAGAATAGAAAACATACAAACAAGACACAATAAAAACATCAATTGAGGGTGAATAGCAATTTGACAACTCAAAATCCACCCATGTAAAAAAAATAAATAAACTTTAAACTTTATCAATTGACGAACTAGACAGGAACAAATTTTCTATAGTTAACCTGATGATTGATCATCCTCAAAACAATTCCGCATATTTATGAAAATCAGTTCAAACTTAATCAATAGCAATCGAACATGAATAATAAAACTGTAAGGACGAAATTACGAATGAATGTAAATAAAGACATCCGTAAATTTGATTAATGACTTTCATATTTGTTATGGATATAATTAATTTATTTCGGACAATTGCGATTGAAAATGCAACAAAAACAAAATTTTTCGAGTGTTTCAAATTGACACAAAAATTGAGTCTTTTATGTGAAATTGAAACTCTTCATTAAATCCACTTCCTACAGCCACGTAGCAACAATCGTATTGAATGTCCATTTATCATCCAATTCAATTTTATTAGAGCAAACAAAAGTGAGACTTTAAAGCATGACAAAAAAAAGGGAACTGCTGAAATTTCGCATGCAAACCAAAACTAATATTTGACTTTTTGATTCAGGATATTGAAACCCAGCATTAGTGACTGAAGTTGTCGTAGAGAATCAGAGCGCATGCAGCACTTAATGATATACAATTATCGACATTGAGTTTTTTGCATATTAGCGGAGGGTTATTGATTTATTGCAATTTACATGCTTTATTTACTTTTATTTCTGTTTCTTTTCTATTTTCAATCCATCACTTACTTCTGTGGCTTGTGAATATTTAATTTTTAATTCATTGGAACTAGCGGTAACCTTTATTGTGGTTCAATTTGAATGAAATTGTCAATTTTTTTTGACAGGTGTTTATAATCGCCGGAAAAAGTTTTTCTTGCTTTAATTTTTCTTACAAATTGGACTTGCAATTGAGAGTTAATCCATGTACAGGGGTGTAGCTGGACAGTTTTGTATTGAAAGAATAATGTCAAATTGAAGAAATTGTTCTGTTGAAGTGGATCCAATGGGCACACATCATGGATGCGAGTCTAGTTGCTAGAACTATCCACTGGACCTGAGTCTATTCTCAACTAGATTTTGTTCATTCCTTAAAGGTTGAATCAATGGCAGTCCAGGCGACAAAATTCAATACTAGGCGTAATATTGCTGGCTTTATCGAAATGTACCCGCGGTGCCATGTCTAGCCATAGTCAATTTTAACCTACACAACAGAGTTAAGGACAGTCTAGTGTAGGATACCCAAAGAACTCTTTTTTATCAGCCTAGTAATGACCAACCTAAAGCCCTTCATCTAAATTCACCCCTGCCCACCAACCACATGACATATTCATATTCCCAATTACATATCAAGCCATACTGGATTAGAATGTAAATAATAAATCCAATAAATTGAAAATTAATTTTTGTTTACTTTCTTCGTGACTTTTGCCTTCGCTTTTTATTTAATATTTCGAGTACAAACAATATTTTCCATTTGCTCTCCTGCAGAGGAAAATTATAAACATTAACAGTGGTTATCTATAATTAGCATCAGCTTGAATGAGAATTGCTTGCATTTGGATCGAGATGAAAATGTCTAAATTTACACGAAAAAAAAACGAATACAATTTCACCTTCTTTATGTTTTTTATGCTGTATAATAATTCATCATTTTATGACTTTTTTTGTACGCGGTTATGTGAAATGAATGTAAATTAAGTTGCTATAGAATTAATAATTGCGTCATGGAAATTGAAAAATTGAGAATTTAGAAAAAATAATTCTTTAAAGAAGCTTGACTTGAATATTAAATTTAATTATTTGTACTGTGGTTTATAGTTTTGCAAGATTTATATTTTAACTGGTGTTTAATAACTATGAGCATTGCTAGGTTCAGTGGACAGACTTACGAACAGACATACTTTTTATGATATTTATTCTATTTATGCTATTCCTTATCAAACTCACTGAATAAATCCATAAAACAGCTTAAAAATATTAAATGTATGCAAAACTATTCAGAAAATCAAACTCAACATCCACAGCAGAACAAACAAGTGGTAAATTCCTCCCCCACAACTCACTTGACTTCACTAAACGTTAAACAAAATTAAAATTCCACTCAAAAGTCAAAACATCCACTCCAAAAAAAAAAAACAGTCAATAAAGAGAAAATATTTTTCACAAACCACAACGCGAACATTTCACAATCAAAGCATAAAGAGCGATTGAATCTCGAAAAAAATTTGTATTGAACGGGATTGAATTAATTAAAATACCACAAAACAAAAATAATTTCGTTTGCCTTCAAAAGAGCACTGACAAATGGTTTTTGATAATGAAAGTAAATAGGATATAAATCACAATTTAATTTACTACAAACAGACAGATTTTATTGGAGAATAAAAGGAAGCAAAGATTGGTTTCACTCTAAGGAAGCGCATTTTGAGCAGATAAAACGATTGATGGACAGTCTTGGGCTGCACATAACCTATATTGACCTTAGTTGCATATAAGAGAAAGCCGTCAGTCTTAGTCACACTGAAAGATTACAAAAAAGCCTAGAAAGCAATTAACCTTAAATGCCAAGCTAGAAAACCTGAAATTCAAGCCAGACCAGCAAATGCGTAGCCAGGAGGGTCTTGTCCCACTCTTAAGCGTTTTAGGTCGTGCTCTTGCTGCGGTTCAAAACGCGCCTGCAGACCAGATCAGAGCAATAAACTCGAGTAGCACAAGTCGGTTAATCGAGCAGAGTCACTCTGATTTCTGATTGATTAACCGATTTGTCCTACTCGGGAAAGCCAGCTACTGATGTCATCTAAAGGTTTCCAAGGAACGTAATTGATTCATGCAGTGAAACAAGCAAGTAAGCAGACAAAGAGATGAAAGGACATACAGCAAAACCACAAACAATACAGTTCATACCTCTCGAAAAAAAAGTGCCT